GCTCCCCCCGCCTGAGGCGGGACCTCGCTCGGCCAGCGCGCCGGCTCCAGCCTCTTTCTCTGGCCCTTTCTGGGACTTCGCCCACCATAGCCGAGTCTGGCTCCAGAGGGCCTGTCAGCGGCAGAGCTGCCCCCACCCCGGTCCCACCGAGGCGGACGGGCCCTGCAGCCGCTTCCTGGAGGGGCGCTGAGCCGGGAAGGGCAGGCGGCACCCTCCCTGGGCCTGAGACGGGGTTGGGGGGTCGGGGGGCGGGAGACCTTCCCCGTGTCCCCGGCACAGGGCGGGCCTTCTGCAGGCCCCCAGCACGGATAGCTGGCTTGGTTTTGTTTTTGAAACACCTGCTGCGTCGGGGCTGGGCCCCCCGGGGCTGCACCCCGCAGCTCAGAGCCCGAGCTCCAGCCAGGTGGGACGCCCCAGGTGGTGTGACCCCGGGCGGGGAAGTGGCCTCTCCTCTTCACGCCCTGCTCCGTCCCTGTGGCCCAGCGACCCTGTCCCCTCTCTCAGCACCGTCTGGACCCCGGTAGTGGAGGAGACGGGCCCATCCCCGCACCCCACTGTGCCCTTCTCTCAGTCAGAGGTTCTGAGCTATTGAGAACCCCTTTGCAGAGGGCCCCTCCCCCGAAAAACGCACACAGGCCCCAATGCTCTTTGTGGGCGTTTCAGAGGGTCCTCGCAGACCCCAACCCGGCCAGCGTGCCGCCCTGGCTCTGGGCGGTCACTCCAGCCTCTGGCCACACAACCCGCCTCCTCCCCGCCCTACAGGCTTGGTGACTCGGCCAACAGGTCATTCCCCATCCTGGGACTGTCTGCAGCCTGGGCAGGCTGCACCCAGCTCTCCCTCCCCAGCCTGGCTCAGGGTGACACCCAGGAGAGCAGATGACCAACAAAATGGAGAGACGCCTGCAGACGTGACAGACACACGGACAGCGGCTGGGCCTGGCAGGGGCGAGGAAACCGTCCACGCCGGGGGCTGGACGACGCTGGGAAAGAGCGGGCCCCCCACCAGCCCCAAACGCGGCGCTGGCGCGGGCCTCCCCACCCCGCTCCCAAGCAGCAGCCCCCTTCTTCCCGAGCCCCTCCTGGGTGGGGGGTCTGCAGGCCTGTCTCAGGATGGCCTGGTCAGTGCCTCCTGCTGCCCCCCACCCCTCTTCCTCCCTCTCTGCCCCCTCCTTCCCCTCCCCCTCCCTCTCCGCCCCCTTCC